ATGAGTATAATTTTTATCATCCTGGTATGGATTGTGGTTTGTCTGTTTTGGTTGTTCTCTACTTCCTGTGCTTTTTTTCTCGATTGTGAATTTGTTTCCAAACTTTCTCCTTTAGATGCTTTTGACACCGAGCAGTTGGTAGATTGTATTCAGAAGCTCAAGAGTGGGCAATCTTACGAAGTTCCCATCTATGATTTTAAGAACCATCATCGGTGCTCAGATAGTTTCCGTCAGGTTTGCATGTTTCCTGCTTTTTGAACTCTCTACGGCTTAATTTATGAGCATAAGTTTTATCTGGCTTTGTTGATGAGCACCTCATATTTACGGAGTATATTGTCCTCTTTGGGCACCTGACCTGAAAGTCACCACAAGTCTATTTTTACCATTTTCTGATTATTTATTTTTACTTTGCTAACATATCAAAACTGTTCTTCATGGATTTTCTGCTGCCTTGTTACATAGCCCTTCTTTTTGCATGGTCATGTGTTGTTTGTTCAGTTTCCTCAGTAATAATTCAGAAAGCCTCCTCTCACTGCTATTTGGGATTTGGTGCATTGATAACAATTAAAACATTTTATTTTGTGTTATATGTATGCTTCCTTTTTACAACTTCAAAAGAACATTAATATGAATTCATTATCAGGTAAATGCCTCAGATGTTATTATCTTGGAGGGAATTCTGGTTTTCCATGACCAGCGTGTTCGCAACCTTATGAATATGAAGTTTTTGTTGATACAGGTTAGACCTCGTTCACTTGTTTCTTATGGTCATAGTCATCCTCTTGCATTATGGTAGATTTATCTTAATTGATTTCTTTGTTAACCTGTTGTATTCTTTTTTATTCTCCCAAGTCCCAGTTCCTTTTATATTAAAGGATATTAATTTTTTTTTTTTGATCAGCATATTAAAGGATATTAATCTTAATCTATCACTGAGTTGCATACATTTTCATCTTGCTTTCCGTCTCCTCTCCCTAGGCCAATGTGCTTATTTGCTAGCCATTATGTCTCACTATCTTATTTGGCAATCTATCTCTTGTAGATGCTGATGTGAGGCTTGCCCGTAGAATCAGACGTGACACGGTTGAGAGGGGTTGGGACGTAAAGTCTGTACTTGAACAGGTAATTATATTTATCTCTATGCATTGCAATCAAGTTGGTAGTCAGAACATCCCGAGTTTGTATGTTGTCTCTGACAGAAATGATATTTTCTTTACTATTCAGTATCCAATGTTCACTTGTTCAGGGTTAATAATTGTGTCATTTGTTGTTTGTTTACTTTGAACATGTCAAAAGACAGCAACTGCAGAGTGCTATAAGTTAAAATATTCTCTCTCCATTGTTTGTTGTGAAACAGAAGACTTCTATTTAGGGAATACCTATGTTCAAATTAGTAGTGTGGGATTAGAGTTAAGCTGATAAATAATTATGTTGTATTATGTTTGTTCTTCCTTTCGAGGTAATTGAGAACCAATGCCTCTTGAATGCAGATCTGCTGCAGGGTGCAGAAATTGAATGCAAATGATATGGTGATCTTGTAATCATGATGAATTACAACAATGTAATCGAATGTTTTTTGTGATTTGGGGCGTTTGCCCTACTCAAGAATAAGTTTGAGGTGATGATCAAATAGAGAATTGAGAGCATTCTTAACATATAGAACAATTTATAGATTGTCAAGACTCAGGCTTTATTCTTATCTTCATTGTGATGGGCTTGTCAGAACTAGGACTGGGAGTTTATGGAAGTTTTGTGATCTGGGGTGATGCTCTGAGGAAAATCCCACTGTAATAACCAAGTATTGTAGAAATAATATCAGTTTCATGTATTGGGGAAATGGAATATCTGTGACTTCTGTATTATTCTAGTTTACAAAAAATTACAAAATTTTAATCAGTGTTTTTGGGTTCGGCTCGGTGACTGACCCGTTTGGGCCACTGAGTCTGGTTCAATTGGTTAAATTGATTTACTCGATTGGTTCAATCGGTCAACTAAGAAAATTTTCTTTTTTGATATTTTTATTAAATTTTATTTTTGTATATTATTTTTACTTTATTTTTAAAAAATAATTATCATAAAATCAACTTAAAATTCATCATTTAAGTAATTTAAAATAATAAATTTAATTAAATACAAATAACTCGATTGTTTTGACTTTTGATATGCCTTATTTTTTTAAAGTTCATAGACCAATGAGAGAGAAAATAAACTTTCTAAACCAAAATGATAATAAACCTATAACTAATAGACTAAATGTTATATTCAGGCCATTTCACTTTGCACAACAGCCCAAAATTGCCTATTTCTAACACGTGCATCTGCCACCACCACTACTCATCCCCACACTCCTCAACCATTTTGACAACGTCAGTAATCTTCCTCTTCCCCAAATTTAACCCCTTTTTCTTTAAAATAAAATTAAATAAAATCTTTCTGAATCTTGTTTTATATCCTTCTTTTGATCTTTTTTTCTTCTGGAGCTTGATTTATCCACTTCATTTTCAATCTCCAAGAATCGGTTGAGATCGGATTCAGATGGTGGTGTTGAGACAATTGCACGACCTCTAATCTCAACCAGAGAACAAGATCTGCGTCGACTGTGCCCAAAAGCATCTGCAATGGGCTTCGGTCTCCTATGGCATCTTCATGTGTTTGGAGTGCTCCGGTGCACCGTGGTCTCGGCGTCTATATTTCTTTCATCAGATCTGTTACATTGGACTCTTGGTTTTGATGGAGGTGAAGCAGGGAGATCAGGCTGCTTTGCTGCGGCTGCTCACGAAGGAGATGAGGTGGTGCTCGGCGGGTGGAACGGGTTGGGCGGTTGGCGCGGGTCGAACGAGTCGAACGGGTTTGGACGGACCAACTCTCAAAACGGGTCGAAGCATGCACTCGGCCCGTTTTTAAACCCGGGTCCGGTTGAACCGGTCCAACCGACCGGGTCGGGCTGGGCTTTAAAACAGTGATTTTAGTTATGTCCCTGACTCCCTGCTTGGATTTCTTATTTTTAAACTTCTGATAAATTGGGTTCTGCAGTATGCAAAGTTTGTCAAACCTGC